CGGGGGGGGGGGCGACGACAACGGCGAGATGATTGAAACTAAACACACACACACATACACACACGCCATACATGGACTCTCAATTCCTTCAAAACAAAATGGTCTTAGATTAACCTGACGATGTCGTCCTTACAGTGAACTTATTCACTTGGCACTGTTCGTTCCAAGTGACACAGTGGTAACAAATTGTGTCCGATTAATGTCACAGCTCTTTTTCTTGCTCTGCGAATCGGTACGGATTCCTTTATTTTGAGCAACTGGATGTTTTGGGAGCAGTTTGGGACACATTACAGCTGTGATCAAGTTAGCCTTGGAGATCGTGCACTGAAATCGGGTGCGAAAGATAGTTTATCAGCACGGCACATTATCTGCCGGTCCCATATTTTCTGGCTGTTCGCTTAGCTTTCCTGTAAAATGTTTTCTGTATTAGCTTCGCGAGGACAGTAAACAACACTACTTATGAAAGTCTTTTAACTATTGGACTGAGCTATCGTATAGGAGGGACATTTACGAAAGAATGTTATGGTTGACAGCAGATTAATCAAGTAGTTTCAATGTGTGGTTTGAAGCATCGAAAATAGAGGTGATCGGTCAAATGTGTAACCTTTATGGATCATTCGAGTTTTAACGCAACTTGGCATTCCGTATAACTTTGGTTCATTGCCTCTAAATGTTAACATTGTTTTACTCAACCCCCATCGGACGATTCTACAACCGCACGCGAACTGACTGTGACTGTAGTTCGTTTACAAAACAAAAACACTGAACAGGATAAATTCCACACAAAAGTGATTTAAAATTTTCGCACAAATCTCTCCATTCTGTGATCAAAATGTCATTGACCTGCAAAATCATGCTCAATAATATTGCCGGTTCTGTTTCACATCCCATCAGGCGTTCAAGATCAGGCTTAAGCGAGGCGGAGATCGATGGGCATAATTCATTCACCCATCGTCTCTGACATGGCTGTCATCTTACGTTATAGTTTGACAGTCTTCACCCGGTAATGGCGTTCTTCATGAAAACGCAACAAATTGTATTCTTCCATTCATTTGAATTGGCACATATATGTACTGTGAAAGAAAAGAGCCGATGGGGAATACACCGTTCTGTCACCAATTGTGTTCGAAACGGTTTGATATTCAAAGCAGATCGAAAACCATTCGAAAACAAAGTGATCACTTTGAGCTGACATGTTTGCACAAACGCAGCGCAGAACGGCTTGTATTGAGGAAAACATTATTCAAAACCGTTGTTCACCCAAAAGAATGTCAGTAGAAAGGAAACGAGTTGATCACGTGACTATCTTTCAAAGACGACGTGAGTGACTAATGGCTCATACGATGACACCCGTGGCTCGTGTTTATTCCGCTTCTACTACGCGGCAAAGTGTAATCATCCGTCAGACAAATCTCAAAACTAACTTCCCGGTTTCAACATTTTTATTGCTACGCCTTCCCCCATTTCTACATTTTTCACGCAGATCGAACAACTGAAGGGGATATCAGAAATCGTAATAGAACACAAACCGGTTTGTTTGTGTCATAGATGCACGAAAAAAATTATTGCAGTCCAACACATAGAAACCGAGCCGTAAGTTGATAATGACCATTCCGAAGTCACGTACTAAGGGCTTTCGGCAATGTTCGTACGACAGTACCACTTAGTAGTTGCGAAAATGGTAGAAATTAGGCTACCCACCTAATGGAATACCAGTTTACACTGATCTTAAGTCAACCGAGAATGCAAATCTGCCACTGGACGACGTCACATGATAATACTCTTCTTGTCGTGCAACGGTTAACAAAATATCACGAACACTACCCAAATGTCCATTTTTATCCCTACCTTGTACACAACCTACAGATTGGTTTAGACAATAGTCTAAAAACCACGCAACTCAACTTGGTTCAAATTTAACTAACCAACGTAGAATAGTCAACGCCTGTGGAACAAGTAACGAGAATAAACGTATTCGCATATCCTCTGTATTCTATTGCCTAGTCTGAATTATTCAATATGTTGTCTCTTTGTTGCGTCAGCAACAAAAGAGTGTAAACAGATTGCTTTCACTTCTATGTATGAATATAAGGTTTGGAGCTTCAGAGACCGTTTCATATGGTTGCTGAAGCGCAACTGATTTCGTTTGCCTAAGGCTTTTATGTTTGCAGCTTGGCATATGTATATGTTCGTATAGATTTCACCGTGACTCATTATCTCACACCCTCGCTCTCTGCCTCACGTGATCAAGGCACAAGATCAAACGGGAACTGATGCCGCCGGGACCGGATTGAATGTGACCGTGCTGAGCCAATCATCACCGACATCCAGTGCGAGCGTGTCCGAGACCACATGGTTGGACGATGAGGAGTTCGAAGACGATTCCGGAGAGGAGGCAGGTAAACAAAATTTGCCCGATCCGGAACTGTTCGATACAATGATTGAAACTACCCTGGCCTGGTTGTTGGCGATGGAGGAACAATTTGCGAACAATGATCTGACCAAACACGATCAGTCCCTACAGTTGACGGAACGATTTCAATGGTCAGACTATTGTCAATCGGATGTGAAAAAGAATTTGCACACATTCACACATTTGACAACAGAGGAACGAAATGAAGTAGAACTGTTGACAACACTGAGTGCGGAACGTTTGAAAATGTTACATGGGAAGATATTGGCACGTGTGGATGAAGCCATGACACATTTTGAAGTTCATGAGGTCAGTCCGGTTGCGTCCCTATTTACTTTTTATATTGCATGTACAAGTGCTCTGGTTCCTTAGACGTTTATGTTTTCACTACTCATAAGTAAGAATTAAACAGTGTTCATAAAATGAAATACTTGCCAACTCGCAGATGTGTTACTGATACGATGTTTGTAGGTGAACGGCATGGTGGCAGAACGAGTGATTGAAATGATAGCTATAGATACGCCTGCCGGATAAGCGTTGTCAATCACTAAGGCGCTTTTCTCTTTGATGGAAATTCAATCAACCAGGCAGATATAACTCAATAATAGAACCTCTATGTTTCAGGAGAAGGAGTGCAATAATTGATTACATAAATTTTCTTGTGTTTCAAATCATGCTGAAACGTGATCATCAATCGAGGGCTGTAGTATTGTACAAGAATTAGCTATCCGTTGTTTCTTCTAAATTAGGAATTGGCGGGGAGTGTAGATAGAAGAAACAGTTTGCAATATTGTCTCAGAATTCTATGTGGACTAATGTATTCCATCAATTGTCGGAAGTTATCCGAATTGTCAAAACTCATATTTGACTGATGCGCCTTTTAGAATTCGTATAAGCAAAACAAAGAAAAGCTCTAATTGAATTTTTTCATCACCACAGTGATCAAAATATCTACGGTCGTCTATGATACTAATTGTAGAAGTTAATAAGCACACATGAATTAACTGGGGCTAATCTTTCTTAACTCACTACACGCTACCCACTGGATTCTGTTCGTCTTCTTTTTCACTATGAAGAACAGCCTACCAGACTGACTTTGAATGGAATATATTTAGTGGATATCCACAACCTAGTTGGCATGTGACTGGGGCCTGGTTTTTTTTAGAAAATTCAGCTACAAAACTCATTATACTTCGTGAGGATCTAATGGACTTTTATGATAGAAAACTATCATGTAAGTTCAAGTAGAGCGAGACCGTCATTCTGGCTGTCAGTGATTCGTATACCTGAAATCGAATTGCTTCAACAACAGAACAAATATACGCACTATTTGCGGGTCCACTGCCGCCCGTAAGAAGTTCTGTTTACCTAAACTTTTGTAAAACCTACTACTGGTCTCAGACTAAATCCCAAATACAAGAGGTGACTGTCTGTTGTCAGATGTTAGGTTGATCCCGTGATTCGATTCCTGATTCCGGGTCGAGTAAGATAGTTTAAAGTTCTGCACTGAGTTTCTAACCTCCCCTCGTCCCCGGTTTCTCTTGCCATAGGATCTCACTGCTCATCTGTCTCGAAGACAAATGTCTGTCGGCCGCTGCCTTCGCCTCGGTTCCCGTATCATTCAAGCGTGTCGAGACAAAACTCAATTGGAACAGAATAGCACGCTAGAAAACGGTCAAACATTGACCGATTTGGACCGCGAAGATTATGCTCGCGTTCGTGAACGATTGTTAGCCATGGACCCGGAAGTGATACAACGTCAGACCGCCCTGCTGGCCACCCGTTGGAACAATCTATGCCGTATTAATCAGACCTTGGGTCGTCGAATCACCACGTGTCTATTGAGAAGACAAGGCATGCTGCTGATTGCTATTCGATTACAACTGGAAAAACTTGAAGCAGAACAGTAAGTAGTATATGTCTACATCCGCTTCTGAGTGATAAGATTGTAGACTCGATTTCTACCTCAAGTCAGTATGTGGTTTATAAGCCTAATTGATATATTTTTAGCCGATCAAGAGTGGATACTGTAAACCAGATTGTCAAAATAGAGCCGTTTCACTTAACTGGATGAATGAAACCGCCCTCGCACGTAAATCACACAGTGCAAAAGTCCATTCACAAAACCGGTCACTGTCCGGTACATTTTATTTTATTGTAGTGATGATACACACACCCTTAAACCGGGAAGTTGAAACAGTTCTACAAGGATTCGATGCACAATCAACGAGTTCCTCGTGGTTTCCATTACCCCATATTACCAACAGGTCCCAAAGACATCAAAATGCTTGAAATAACGAGAAACCAAGCTTGCGCTTTACTGCTCGTATCCTGTAATTGGAAAAGAGTTTTCGCTGGGCTTGGAAAACGAGAGGAAAGCATTGTTAGCTCAGAGTTGAAAATTACATATATACGGGGAAAAAATTGATGGAGAACAACACGCATGACAAATATTTGATGTAAACAAACGAAAACAGTATAGTATTGCATCCGAAACGCGGTGGACGGGATACGGATTCACACACACACACACACACACACACACACACACATGTTCCAGTTCTGCTATGGACCGTCAGTTCTGAGTTATCTCATCCCCTCTTGTGTTGCTAAGCTTTTTTATGTAACGTGCTGACATGAGTAAACCACATTGTGTCGTTTTTATTGTGTTCCATCGGACTAGCCAAACATTGGAAAACAATACAATCGGTTGTAATGGAAGGCTGGCTGCAAGCAGTCACGCACAGACATTTTGGTAGCATGAGAAGAGGAACACAATATTTCAATAAATATGACTGTTAAATGACGACACAATTTACATAAACCGGACAGAATAGCATCCACAAACGGAACAGTACTGGTTTCGGAAAAAGCGTTGTTTTCTTCAATAGAATGATGAATAGATAAATGTTTAATCCGAAAGTGCATCCTCCATAGATTAACTCAGGAAATCAGCTCGGGATTTGTCCCAATCGAGATGAATTTGCATAGTATTCTTGTTTCCAACGCAGCTGTGCGGATTCAAAGTCCAGCAACATACACCTAGAATATTTGTTGTCACGAAAAACATATTGGTTCGAAAATTAGGTGATGCTAGAGTTCAGCTTGGGTAAGGGGTGCCGCCTGCGGGGCAGTGCGAAATTGCTCTCTTATCACATGTTGTCACCATGAAGCTCTTTCTCCCCCTGTCAGTCACGTCAAGATAGCTAATAGTTTAGTATATCATGTATTATATTTTCACACAGGTCTGAATCCAGACTGTATGCCCAACATAAATGTTCCATGATTTGTATGTGGGCGGAATACTGTCAAGTTGCCCAGGCCAAGGCAGGTGAATTTTCTTGAGGAATCCACAACCGAAGCCTTTGGCTAGCCAAAACCTGACCCGCAAAGTGGCGGGCGGTGTGCGAAAACCGCAATCCATTGGGAAACCGGTGTCCAGTTCATCTGCTCATTCGTGCTTCGGACGGGGTCAAACGTCCGAGGCGCGCAATCTACCTCCATGCCCAATCAAGTCGGTGACTATTGCCACAATTAGGGAGGTGCACGTGGTTCGTAAGCTTCCTCTTGGTTGGTTCGGAATCAGTGCTATTGGTCAACTTCGCTAGGTGAACTACCATTGGTCCACCAACCCGGTTATAACTCCGGATATCGGGTTTTCGTTGTCTCACTTTGGTGGGAAAGCACCTCCGTCACGAGAAGGCAATGAATAGAGCCTCCTCGGCAGAGGCTATTTGAGACACTTCGTCGTATAGAGGAGCATTTCGCGAGGTGAAAGGGAATGATGACCAGCCGCAACCATAGACATCCACCCTCACCATATTGAGGCTTTTGGAAGCAATAATTTAGTATGCCTACCGGTTAGGTTTTTTTTATTTCCTTTTAGTGAATGCATCATGATACCATTTTTGGGAAGCGGGAAGCGTTCAATCAAAGGGTTGCCATACAACACACAAAATGAGGAAAGTCAGGTCATGGAGGAGGTGGGATTCGAACACACGTCCCCCCCCCCGGGGTGATAATTTGGTTCTGTTTCCATTAGGTCACAACCGCCCAGAGGTCGACAACCAACAACCATCGCCCTAAGTTAGTAGACATAAGTTAAGTTTTGCTATTTTTCCGCAGTTGTTTGTCCCCTATAGATGATTAATTGGTGGCAGCAACTTTCCCTAGCACACAGTGCTTTTCCGAATTGTTGTCGGCAAGATTGACTTAATAGAGAGAGTAACGGAAGCCTGAGTTGACGATCCTCAGATCAATCCGCTCTCCTATGACGTACTTTTGGGTTTGCAATAATTAATTGTTGAGTAATCAACAAGTAAACTTACAGACCGGTTAACCGAATGACAGCATGCTAGACCCTCTCAGTTTGTGATACTTTTTTGACGAACGGATTTCAAATAAATCGATAAAAATGTTTGACTTTTATCACACAGGGCAAGACAAGCAGAACTTTTGTTTGGTCCTTCAATTC